CGATCTCATAAAAGAAAAATAAGAAGTCACGGGGATCGTGGGAGAAATGTTCCTTTATTGTCTCCAGTCTTTGACTCCCCCACCCCAGGGGGAGAGCGTGGTTGGCCACCTAATCAGAGCATAATGGTCTCAATCAATAGTTTCCTTGATTGCACACGTACTGTACATTCCACATCAACAGCGCACAAACAGGGCTGTGTTTTCATGCGAGGTGCTTAAATCAAGGAAGCCTGCGACAGTGTTTCATTACATGATTATGCTGCTGTTCAAATCAATACCATGTTTTTCAATATTTCCATGGAAATAAATAACTTCAGTGAATAAGTTCAGTCAATAGGTTATTCTGAGCATAACAAGGCAAATATCTGACCAATCAGTGCAGTTAATTGGACAAAATCTGTTAATAACACTTTTCTGTTTGTCTCCTGTAAAGTCTGGATGGACGTTTTATATTTCTGAACTAAAGGAATAAAGACTAATCATTATGATGCTTTTGCAAACATGGCTAGAAAAATAAAAACCCAGTAGATGTTGCAGCATGAAACCTGTAACTAAGTATAGTTGTATTAAGTGTCCGTGAGCACGCATCGTTGAGCCTATTTAGACGTTTTTTTCCAGACTTTAAAATCGGTTTTGTGACATTCAGGAAAGACGAGCGTGAGATGAGGTGACACAGTGGAAAGACGGTCCAGCGACACTCGCTGTGTGGACCTGTCTGACTCATTTGACCCTGAGGCCGCCCGCTGACCTTTGACTCTAAGGCGTCATTACGTGCGGAACTTTACGAGAGCACTGCGGCTTTTCAAACAGCCAGCTCACATCCACTTCCACTTTTGGCAACAGAATTACAAATATTTCTACATGAGATGAGCTCTGACAATAGCCTTTGTAAGTGTGTGTATATATGAATGGATGAGTTTCTGTTTGATTCTCTGGGCCTCGGTGCCAAAACTGTATGTGTCTAAACGAGCATATGTGGACGGCCGAGGTTGCGATTGCCACTCGGCACACGTACGGTGCGTGTGTCTGTGTCTGAGTGCGTGTGTCCTTTGGATCGTGATGTGTGGAACAACAGCGTATTGTGTCTTCCTCTCTCATATTTCTCATCATCAGCACTGCCGGTGTCTAAATTCCACTGGTGTGTTCACAGCGTGACGGAGGGACTCAGCCCTGTTGTCAACCCCCATCCTGCAAAAATAGGAAACACAGCATCACTTTTCCACTTTCTCCCTCACTTTTCACCACTAATTCAAAATATATGTCTTCCTGTTTGGAGCTCTCACACTCTGGACTTGGTTGTTTGTATTGGAGAAAGGGTGCAGTTTTGCACATACTCTGTGCTGCTTTTTAAGCACAGAGTGTGAGCAGCCATTGGGGAAACACCTCCATTACTCTGACACATTAACTGTAGATGTTTATGCCTTTCGCCCCTGTATTTGTCAATATGATTTACTCATTATGTGATATAACTGCATCAGACACCTGTGATAATGACCTACAGTATTGGTCAGAACTGAATCAGTCTTACACACAGCTTTTTCATTTTCACAAGGCTTATTTCGCCTTCTTGCTAAGCATTGTAAGATTTTGGGTGCTGAACAGGCCTGCCAGCAGTCCAGACCTTTCACCAACTGAAGACATTTGCAGCACCATAAAACATGACAGAGAAGAGCTGGGACTATGTGAAAGGGTGAAGTGCTGCAGTAAAGTTGCAATGGTCCTATCTTTTATACAGTCTATAGTTCACTCTACTAAGATGTGATTATTTCCAAGCTCCATTTAGTTTTAGTTAGCTGAAGCTAAACCAGAAGTTAAAACGAGATGGTGAAAAACATTTTTAGTTAATGTTACGACTGTTGTTGTAATGTTGTCTCATATGTAAATCTGAGTGCTCAGGTGCCTTTCCTTGATTGGTGCATCCATGGGACGGACCATACAGATTGGCTAATGACCTGGAGACAACATATAAGATGACACCGCCATGGACCTCAACCAGCAGGCTTTGTGTTACTTGTTTCTTTATACAGGAGCATGTAGGGGTGGACTGCCTTTTTATTTGATTACCCTTTTCTCATGTTTTTGTTAGTTAGGGACATTTTGGGGGACGTTATTCTCTTACTTATTAAACACATGCTCCCATCCACTCTCTTGGTCCAGAAGCTCCATAATCCAAGTGTCCCAACTCAGGTCTGATGGCATTTTTTCAGTGGTGTTTTTAACCTCTTGGGAACTTTCACTACATTCCTTACTTGATGCAGAAAGAAGAAACGAGTCAGGGATGCATAGCAAGCACAACAAGACAGCAGCAGCCCAGACCTTTCACCAACTGAAGACATTTGCAGCACCATAAAACATGACAGAGAAGAGCTGGGACTATGTGAAAGGGTGAAGTGCTGCAGTAAAGTTGCAATGGTCCTATCTTTTATACAGTCTATGGTTCACTCTATTCGATTACCCTTTTCTCATGTTTTTGTTAGTTAGGGAGATAAGACATTGTCATTTGGTTTTATTCTTTTCATAAATAAGTTTTGTACATCCTTTAGATACGGTCCCTTTTGTTTGTTGTTTTGGGGTCCACCCCGAAGCTGTAGTTCATTGAAAAAGGATCCTTTATCATTTTTTGTTTTATTTATTTAATTTTATTTTTCTCCTTGTTACTATGTGGAGTGGTATATTCTGATTGTAAATTTGTTGTTTGGTTTGGGTTAGGACCGGAGAGAAATGTTAATATTAGTTTGTTCCCTGATTTTTGGTGCCCACTTGTAATATAAGTTGGATTGTAGATAGGGGGCAGGGTTTAATAAGAATATTTTCTTCTTCCTGCTCCTTTTCACACATGGTTGTAGTGCTTTATTGATAAAGTGTGGTTGGTTTGTTTGATCTGTTGTACCAAGTGTGAAATAAATAAATAAATGAAATGAAATAGTTCGCTCCTTTCCTTTGTTAGAATTCAATCACTGTGAAAAAAAATCACCATCAAAATTGTACTGGTTGTGTGATGTGCTGCTTGGGGTCAGACAGGGGTGGATCACCCTTATATTATGGTCTGGCCACCCTTAGACAGGCCATAACACTAACTAAAATGAAAATTAAAACTAGACTTATAACTGGCTGGCTGGTGTCCTTACTGAACTGTGGGCTCCTCTTTCCAGGTGTTCGTACTGCCTGAGTGGCACCAAGATGTGCTGTCTTGCCTCTTTTGGGTTTTCTGCATGTTTCTGGCTCAACATGCAAGTATCCACTTCTTGACGTTCGCTGTTGGTTGCAGCCACTTGAGGTTTTTGGGCTCATTTGGGTTCTCAACACTGGGCGACTTTGATGGGAGTGAAAGCATCCTCACAACATAAATCACCACACTACCTGCTTTTGTTTCAGGTTTTTTCTTTATCCTTGTTAACATGTTTGGGTACTGGGTTTACCTGTAATGCATTTTGTGCTCCAAAAGCTGTTAGCATGACCTTTCTTATCATTAGATTGTGCCACACCAGCACCTGAGAGAAAAGCTTTGAGTTTGATTTTGTGTTTGTGTTTTGCAGGCACTCAGGAGAATAAGTCATGATGTTTCTTGTGTTTGTCATGTTAGTATCTCAGTGCTTGTCAATCACCAGTCAACAGTGTCACCACTGTGAACAACATCCTGCGACTGTTTGAGCCAAAACCTTCGAGAAGTCCCTGCAGCCGCTTCAAAACTCATCACTGAGCTCGATCTCTCTTTTAACACGCTGGAGACAACAATGAAAGATGACTTTCTTTCATATGCTGCTTTGAGGGCTTTGTTCGTGAACAACAACAGAATCAAAACCATCCATGAAGAGACATTTCACCCGCTGATTAATTTGGAGAAACTGGACTTCCACAAACCAGTTGGAGACTTTGTCTTCTGGATGGTTTCAGAACCTGATTTCTCTCCACTATTTCAATCTTTTGGGAAACAAATATACAACACTGGGTCCGGTTGTTGTTAACTGATCTTGACTTTGTTGATTAAACGTTGCAAACCAGCCTTCAGTGTGTCCTGTACATGAGGTCATTTAGTACACCACAGCACGGTGAGTTTTTTGAGCTGATGAAGTTCAGCCAAAACAGGAAACATGCAGCAGGAGACAGTAACTTGTTAAAATGTTATAAAAGGTACAATTAAAGATTTTCACCCTACAGGGTTGTCAATGATCCAAGGATAAATGTCTAATTTGGTCAAAAGTTTATAAGCCATTTCTGGAGAGACTGCAGTGGAAATGTTGTCACTTTTGGACTTTGCTACCTGCAGCTAAACATTTGCAGCTAAATCATTTATTTAAAAGCAGAAGCTGCAACTGATCGAGTGAATGTTTGTCTGAAAACTTAAACTGAACTCCAAGCGTACCATTGCTCCAGCTTACCATCTTTACCTGAGTGAATCAGTTTGTTGAACAATCTAAATGATTCAGAAACTTCTGTGACATCAACTTAACTAAGGCTCATTACAAATTTCACAAAACACTGCTGAATACTTTTAATATTTTTTTTATTAGTTATTTTTGTTTTGTTGTTATTTTGATTTTAATAAAACAAAATAACATAAAGAATCAAATTGTTTCTTTGTTTTTTTAAATTTAATTTATTTTACAAATAAATTAATAATAATATTAATAATAATAACAACAAATTAGTGCTGTCAGCGTAAACGTCATTAGTTAAAATGACGTTAACGCTGACAGCACTAATTTGTTGTTCCAGAGAGCAAGCCAAACACTGGTCTAGAAAAGGACGATCTCTAGTAGTGCTGCACTACTAGTAGATTTTGTTTTAACCTCCTAGGACCTGGTGTCCACATATGTGGACATAACATTTATGAGACCAAAATACAAAATTTTGCTCTTCAAAAACCTGATATCCACTTATGAGGGAGGACATTACACTGCCCCTGTTCAATCGAACTTTAAAATGAATGTCCTCATATGTGGATCTCATTTTTTTGAGAAACAAAAAAAAGATAGTCCGAATCTGATGTCTTTGTTTTCACATTCATCAGGTCCCAATCAACCCAAATGGCACAGAGAAATTAAAAATGCATGCCATGAAAAAGTTCAGGTCTTAGGATGTTAAAAATGTCCCTGCTGATGAGACCAGTGAATGTGGGGCGACGGTGGCAAGAAAAAACTCCCTCCTGGAGGAAGAAATCTTGGGAGGACCAGGCTCTCTGGGAGGACCCTCCCTCCTGAGGGCAATACTTACCAGTACTTGTCCTCCAGTGTGCGATGGTGGGCTGGGACGAGTGTTGTTTCTTCTCAGCATGATGATGACCTTCCTTCCATTTCCTGTTTCAGAACTGAGAATGAAGACAAAACTGGTTAACAAGGTAACAGGACATTTAAAAATTCTCTCACTTCAGGATGAGATGCTGTGTCTTCTTACGTTTCTCTTGTAAAACAGCATGTAGGCCGAGTGCTGCTGTTCCTCACAAGCTGCCGATCCGGTTGTGTGGAGCACCTGTGCGTCATTATAGGTGAGCCAGCGATCTGATGTAGAGTGCTGACTCTCCTCAGGATGGACAGAACTACAGATGTAGTGTCCTGAAATCACATTAAGACAAATGAATCCAACTTCTGGAAGTCAGCTGATTCAAGCAAACAGTGATTTTGACTTAGTGCGTCTTAGAACATCAAAAGCTTTTGTGTGTGAGTCCTTCACTGAAAAGTTTTCATTTTCTGTTTGTAACAAGTCTGTTGTTTTACCTGATTCTGTGCCTCCATAATGACTGATGATGCTGACAAGACTATAACAGCCACCACCCTGAGAAGGAACAAATCCAAAGAGTGTTAGTTTCACAAAGTCTCACATCAGAGCCATAATTAAGCTGATTTGCTGAGGCTACGTCCACACTAATGCGTTTTCGTTTGAAAACACATCGTTTTCTCTCCGCTTTGACCTCCCGTCCACACTGAGACGGCGTTTTCCTCAAGGAAAAACACAGCATCTTGAAAACGCTCTCGAAAACGCACACATTTCAAATCGGAGTTGTCCCGTCGCAGTGTGGACACTCGAAAACGCAGACTTTCTAAAACGATGATGCATTTTAGTCATGTGATGCAGTCATGTGAGCAATTAAACAAAGATAGCCGAGTGCATTATACAGCGGTTGTTTTGATTGCTCTCAACTTTGACAGCCCTAAAAAAGATTAATATCAGTTTGTACATGCTCCGGATAGCTTTTCTTCAAATTCTGTAATCCTCACTCACTTTTGCGCATGCGCAGGACTGGAACGTAAGCGTTTCGGCCGTTTCAATGCAGACGCACAACTATTTGAAAATGACTGAAAACACTAGTGTGGACACGGAGTTTTCAAATCTATCAGGGCTAGTGTGGACGTAGCCTGAGACGTTCTGCAGTCTGTTTTTACCTGATTGGATGGCACCACCAAGTCCCTCTGCAGCCTGACGGGGTCATCCACCTTCTTAATGTTGTAGGTTTGTGTAAAGCCAAACCTCTTCAGATGCAAGATCAGGACTCTGGCAGAAAAGAAGAAAAAAAACACAAACAAGGTAGAAAATAAGAAGAATGAGTGTCAAACACAAACAGAAGATGGGAGAAAACGACTGCTCAAGTATTGTCTCGAAAAACTCTGATATTTGATGCGCCACAGTTTGGAAACCTGGTCAGTCGATCACTTCTGATGTGACCTTACTCACCTTGGCAGTGTATCAAAAGACGACTTCAGTTCTGAGGCCGTCCCTCCACAATCACAGCGAAATTCTATTTCTTGTTCCTGAACAACAGCACAGAGAAAACAGGCTTTATGGTAGAAAGAAATCTCAACATATGCACACACACATACGCACAAACACTAACAAAAAAGGTGTTAAGATCGCTGACACTACAACTCTATTGGAATTTGTGATCTTACCTTCAAGTATGTCTCTAACATGTTTATAATAGACCCCTCTGGAACAAGTCAAGAGACAAGCTGGTGAAGTCCTCGTGCTGTGATGATTGGTGACCACAGCTACACATTTCAGGAGTAACGTAGTTAAAGTAAAGATCAGGTAGGTGGAAAAGAGGTATTTGAAAATATTGCAACCAGCTCTGCGTTTCTGAAAGACAGGCTTACCTCTTGCATGTCCTCATGTTTTCCATTTTAAAAATGTGATGCTCTTCTACTGGGCAGGTATAACTTTGGCCCAGGAGAGCTGCGTTCCTCTCCAGGTGAGGTGCGAGCCTTTGACCTCATTGAGGAACAATGTTAGGAATTCATGAGCGTCCTGAAAGAAAAGCAGAGAGATTTAAAACAGTACATCAAAATCAGAAGGTAAAGCAAAAAAACAAAATGTCCAAATAGCTGACGCACTTTCTGTGCACTGCCGGTGTATTCAGGAGCTTGACTGCTGAATGCCTTCTTAAAAGCTCTTAGGTGGTGATCTTTAAGGCCATAATCTGTTGACTCATGACAGTCCCTGACATCAATGAGCCTTCTGTAGAAAGGAAAGGGTAAACAGACATTTCTGCTGTTAGATCTCTTGTTCTTCAGGTTTTTGAAGAAAGTAGAAGGTTGACGTAGCGCACCTTAAGAGCTGAGCTTCTGGATCTGTGCTCCACAAAACCTCCTGACGCCTGATGTCTCTTATGAACTCCTCAATGTTGAGGAGGCTCTGCAGGCAGGAGTTCATGTAGCAGGTGTTTCCGATGTTTGGAAACCTGACACACACGCACAACGTTTACAGTATCAGTGTAAAAGAATTCATTTTCTCCACTTTGACAAAGTGAGCTTGGTCTTTGTGCACCACGTGTACTCACCCGAAGCAGTCTATAGTCCCAGTTTGACTTTCTATTATTTCTCCACCGCATGCTACACTGCTCCAAAAAGGTAAAAACACAAACACAAAATTAGGAAAGATGTCAGGATGCTGAGCAGTGTATGTGCATGGATGCATGAGCTTTGAAGTTGAAACATTTTGGAGGACGTCTTTCTCTTACCTGTTAAACACATGCTCCCATCCACTCTCTTGGTCCAGAAGCTCCATAATCCAAGTGTCCCAACTCAGGTCTGCTGGGATCGTTTCCGTGGTGCTTCTTACCTGATATAAATATATAGGACATAGCTGTGTGCCTCATTGCTCTTAATTGCTCTCATTTAACTGTGATGAGTAAATGCTTGATGACAGTGACTCTTTCCATAAAACATACCTTCCCGGATTTAAAAAGAGTCTCACAGTGTGCTCTCTGCCTCTGCATCGCTGTCAGTTTGCTGCAGAGGACGAACAAACATAAGTTATTAAAAAGTACATTTTAAAGAGAATGTGTATTTCATATGTTTTGTGTAAAAGCAAACCGAGGAACAGCAGAAGATGTGTCTCCATTTTCTCTTCTTTTGGCCATTTTCAGGGTTAGCTGGTGTGGCAGCAACAGAAGCATCCGGGATGCTGATGAGGACAAAAGTGTAAATGTTGTGGAAATTTATAAGAAGGAGTACATTTTGCTAATACAGATTGCTAATAAAAGTGAATAACTGTAATGGAATACCAACATGAACAAAATCATGTATTTTATACATTTACACTCTACATTTTCAAACGCTAATCTCTGCATCCATATAAATAATAGACAAGACTAGAAGGAGTAAAAAAGATGTAAATACACAAGGTGGAAGAAAAATGCCAATAAAAGGGAAATAAAAGAGCTCCAACCAAACCACTGCTATAAATATCTCCAGCAGCATTAAAGAGTGGCGCATTTCTTTACCTCTGATGAGACGTAGAAGGAATTTCCTTCTCTGCCACGTTTTGTTTGTGTAATTTCTGTTTAGAACAAGAAAAGCAACATCAGTAATGGCATAAAACAAACATACCAAGTGGGTCTCTCCATGAAAAGTGTCCAGTTAGAAAATTTGGTATTATTTCATATTATTTATCACTTTAGTGAGCTGTCAGCTCATGAAGCAGATATAGGAATATCTTTAAATAAAATAAAAACAATTTATTCATGCCTTAAATTGAGTTTTAAAGTTTGTCCTATGAAATACAAAATCCTTCATTTGGTTCTGATCAAAATTCAGTTTTACAGAAATCATCCATGAAGCTTCAAAATGCTTATCACCATAAAAAATATTTAGAGAAACATCCTGCAAGTCTCTTCGAACTTACCTTTCTGTGAAAAAAAAACGTTTAAACATCTTTGAACTTAATTTGAGGACATAGCTGTGTGCTAAATTGCTCTTAATTCTTCTCATTTAACTGTGATGAGTAAATGCTTGATGACAGTGACTCTTTCCATAAAACATACCTTCCAGAATTAAAAAGAAACCAGCGACACTTTTTTTGTGTCTTCACAGTGTTGCTCTCTGCCTCTGCATCGCTGTCAGTTTGCTGCAGAGGACGAACAAACATACGTTTATTAAAAAAGTAAAGTCACTTTAAATTAACAAGTGCAATTTAAAGAGAATGTGCATTTCATATGTTTTGTGTAAAAGCAAACCGAGGAACAGCAGAGGTGTCTCCATTTTCTCTTCTTCTTTTGACCATTTTCAGTAACAGGAGCATCCGGGATGCTGATGAGGACAAAAGTGTAAATGTTATTTTTCAAAGTGCAAATTTTTAACAAGGAGTACATGCTGGAGATTGCAGATAAAAATTAATAACTGTAATGGAACAAAATCATGTATTTTGTACATTTACACTCTACATTTTCAAACGCTAATCTCTGAATCAATATAAATTATAGACAAGACTAGAAGTAGTAAAAAAGATGTAAATACAAAACACCAATAAAAGGGAAATAAAAGAGCTCCAACTCAACCACTGCTATAAATATCTCCAGCAGCATTAAAGACTGGCGCATTTCTTTACCTCTGATGAGACGTAGAAGGAATTTCCTTCTCTGCCACGTTTTGTTTGTGTGGTTTCTGTTTAGAAACAAGAAAACCAACATCAGTAATGGCATAAAACAAAGTATATGGTATGAAAATACAAAATCCTTCATTTGGATTCAAAATTCAGTTTTTACAGAAATCATCCAAGAAGCTTCCTTAAAAGTTTCAAAAATGCTTGTTTACCATAAGAAAATATTCATAGAAATGTGCTGCGAGTCTCTTCAAACTTACCTTTCTGTGAAAAAGAAGTTTAAACATCTTTGGACTTGATGTGATCGCAGCCAAAATCTCCTCAGCTTTGCAAAAGTTCAACTGAAAACAAGCAGTCAGAGGTTGTATATTTATAAACTTTCAGCATAGAATGTTCATACCCTGAACAGCAAACATCAGCATTATGATGTATGGGGCTAATTTGCATATTTTGGAATGTATGCTCATTTGAACTGTATGGTGCTCGTCTCCAAGCAACTGCTACACAAAACAGGTCAAGTCAAGTGGCTTTTATTGTCATTTTAACCACGTGCAGAGGTGCTGTACAGAGTGAAATGAGACAGCGTTCCTCCGAGACCCTGGTGCTATATATGACATATACGGACAAACCCAGGACTACATAAAGTGCAGTGTGCATAAATTGCAAAAATAAACAAGACAAAACAGTGCAAAACGTGACAGAACAGGACGAAACAGACACAAGACAATGGAAATGTGCAAAATGCTGAGTATTGTGCAAAAGTAACTTGGTGTCTGTATGTATGTATATGAGTGTGAGATACTGCAGACAAGTGCTTGGTAGTGGCGTGTGTGAAGGTGTGCGTGTGCCAGTGCAGTCACTGAGTGTTCAGGGGTCTGACGGCTTGTGGGAAGAAACTTTTCCGTAGTTTGGTAGCGAGGGCCCGGATGTTGTGGGACCTCTTTCCAGAAGGCAGCAGGGTGAAGAGTGTGTTTGAAGGCTGTGTGGGGTCCTCCAGCAAGCGGGTGTTATAAGGAGGGGAGAGGGGCTCCAATGACCTTCTTAGCTGCTCTCACAATCCGTTGTAGGGTACTGCGATCCAATACGCTGCAGTTACCATACCAGACAGTGATGCAGCTACTTAGGATGCTCTCATTAGTCCCACTGTAAAAGGTGGTGAGAATGGATGGTGGGAGATGGGCTTTCCTCAGCTTCTGCATGAAGTAGAGATGCTGCTGGGCCTTCTTGGTTATGGAGCTGGGACTGGGCAAATCTTAAACTTGAAAGCCAGGTCAGAGCTGTTGTAAGATCTAGCTTTTTTCATTTGAGGGAATTAGCCAAAATAAAGCCTATCTTATCGAAACAGCATTTTGAGACAGTAATCCATGCCTTTGTTACTTCTAGGCTGGATTATTGTAATGCACTTTATTTTGGGGTTAGTGATGCGTCCATTAGGCGCCTGCAGGTTGTGCAAAATGCTGCAGCACGTCTTTTAACTGGAACAAAAAAGTTTGAGCACATTACCCCAATTTTAATTTCACTCCACTGGCTACCTGTACATTTTAGGATTGTTTTTAAAATTCTCTTATTTGCTTTTAAATCTCTTAATGGCCTGCCCCCCCCCCCCCCTACCTCTCGGAGCTACTACAACCATATACACCTCCCCGTTCCCTTAGGTCCGCCAATCAGCAGCTCCTTAAGGTACCAAAAACTAAGTATAAATCTAAAGGTGATCGTGCTTTTGCTGTAGTTGCTCCAAAGTTGTGGAATGATCTGCCCTTGCATGTTAGGCAGGCCTCTTCTCTCTCTGAATTTAAAAGTCTTCTTAAAACATATTTATTCGCTGAAGCCTTTGGCATTGATTAGAGGGGTTGACTCAATTTGTTTTGACATGTTTCAATTTATTTTAGTTTTTTAGTTATTTATTTTATCTTATCTCATTTTAATTTTCTTTACTTATGCTTTTAGCATGTACAGCACTTTGTGAACTCTGGTTTTATGTTAAAGTGCTTTATAAATAAAGGTGGTATGGTATGGTATGGTACTGTGAACGCCTCATTATAAACATCGAGCAACAGGGGACTTAACATATCCTCAAATGCTCTATAGAAATCCAATGGTAACCCATCTAATCCTGGAGCTTTATTAAGTGGCATACTGTTAATTGCACGGGTAATCTCCTCCACTGTAATTGGAGCATCTATAATCTGCTGGTCAGTAGTAGAAAGCTGTGGCAGGTTTAAATCAGTAAAGAATGCTTCGAATTTCTGTTCATCTAAACTACCTTGTGTAGAATAAAGATTATTGTAAAAGGCCCTGAATCCATCATTTACAGTGGGGCAAAAAAGTATTTAGTCAGCCACCGATTGTGCAAGTTCCCCCACTTAAAATGATGACAGAGGTCAGTAATTTGCACCAGAGGTACACTGCAACTGTGAGAGACAGAATGTGAAAAAAAAATCCATGAATCCACATGGTAGGATTTGTAAAGAATTTATTCGTAAATTAGGGTGGAAAATAAGTATTTGGTCACCTCAAACAAGGAAAATCTCTGGCTCTCACAGACCTGTAACGTCTTCTGTAAGAAGCTTTTCTGTCCCCCACTCGTTACCTGTATGAATGACACCTGTTTGAACGCATCATCTGTATAAAAGACACCTGTCCACAGCCTCAAACAGTCAGACTCCAAACTCCGCCATGGCCAAGACCAAAGAGCTTTCGAAGGACACCAGGAAAAGTATTGTAGACCTGCACCAGACTGGGAAGAGTGAATCTACAATAGGCAAGCAGCTTGGTGTGAAAAAATCAACTGTGGGAGCAATCATCAGAAAATGGAAGACATACAAGACCACTGATAATCTCCCTCGATCTGGGGCTCCACGCAAGATCTCATCCCGTGGGGTCAAAATGATCATGAGAACGGTGAGCAAAGATCCCAGAACCACACGGGGGGACCTGGTGAATGACCTGCAGAGAGCTGGGACCAAAGTAACAAAGGTCACCATCAGTAACACACTACAACGGCAGGGAATCAAATCCCGCAGTGCCAGACGTGTTCCGCTGCTGAAGCCAGTGCATGTCCAGGCCCATCTGAAGTTTGCCAGAGAGCACATGGATGATACAGCAGAGGATTGGGAGAATGTCATGTGGTCAGATGAAACCAAAGTAGAACTTTTTGGTATAAACTCAACTCGTCGTGTTTGGAGGAAGAAGAATACTGAGTTGCATCCCAAGAGCACCATACCTACTGTGAAGCATGGGGTGGAAACATCATGCTATGGGGCTGTTTTCTGCCAAGGGGACAGGACGGCTGATCCGTGTTAAGGACAGGATGAATGGGGCCATGTATCGTGAGATTTTGAGCCAAAACCTCCTTCCATCAGTGAGAAGATGAAACGAGGCTGGGTCTTCCAACATGACAATGATCCAAAACACAGCGTCCGGGCAACAAAGGAGTGGCTCCGTAAGAAGCATTTGAAAGTCCTGGAGTGGCCTAGCCAGTCTCCAGACCTCAACCCCATAGAAAATCTGTGGCGGGAGTTGAAAGTCCATGTTGCTCGGTGACAGCCCCAAAACATCACTGCTCTCGAGAAGATCTGCATGGAGGAATGGGCCAAAATACCAGCTACTGTGTGTGCAAACCTGGTAAAGACCTATAGTAAACGTTTGACCTCTGTTATTGCCAACAAAGGTTATGTTACAAAGTATTGAGTTGTATTTTTGTTATTGACCAAATACTTATTTTCAACCCTGATTTACGAATAAGTTCTTTACAAATCCTACCATGTGGATTCATGGATTTTTTTTTCACATTCTGTCTCTCACAGTTGAAGTGTACCTCTGGTGCAAATTACTGACCTCTGTCATCATTTTAGGTGGGGGAACTTGCACAATCGGTGGCTGACTAAATACTTTTTTGCCCCACTGTATGTTGTCTCCTTGACCTGGAGACAACATATAAGATGACACCGCCATGGACCTCAACCAGCAGGCTTTGTGTTACCTGTTTCTTTATACAGGAGCATGTAGGGGTGGACTGCCTTTTTATTTGATTACCCTTTTCTCATGTTTTTGTTAGTTAGGGACATTTTGGGGGACGTTATACTCTTACTTGTTAAACACATGCTCCCATCCACTCTCTTGGTCCAGAAGCTCCATAATCCAAGTGTCCCAACTCAGGTCTGATGGCCTTTTTTCAGTTGTGTTTTTAACCTCTTGGGAACTTTCACTACATTCCTTACTTGATGCAGAAAGAAGAAACGAGTCAGGGCTGCATAGCAAGCACAACAAGACACCAGCAGTCCAAACCTTTCACCAACTGAAGACATTTGCAGCACCATAAAACATGACAGAGAAGAGCTGGGACTATGTGAAAGGGTGAAGTGCTGCAGTAAAGTTGCAATGGTCCTATCTTTTATACAGTCTATGGTTCACTCTATTCGATTACCCTTTTCTCATGTTTTTGTTAGTTAGGGAGATAAGACATTGTCATTTGGTTTTATTCTTTTCATAAATAAGTTTTGTACATCCTTTAGATACGGTCCCTTTTGTTTGTTGTTTTGGGGTCCACCCCGAAGCTGTAGTTCGCTCCTTTCCTTTGTTAGAATTCAATCACTGTGAAAAAAAATCACCATCAAAATTGTACCGGTTGTGTGATGTGCTGCTTGGGGTCAGACAGGGGTGGATCACCCTTATATTATGGTCTGGCCACCCTTAGACAGGCCATAACACTAACTAAAATGAAAATTAAAACTAGACTTATAACTGGCTGGCTGGTGTCCTTGGGTCTGAACTGTGGGCTCCTCTTTCCAGGTGTTCGTACTGCCTGAGTGGCACCAAGATGTGCTGTCTTGCCTCTTTTGGGTTTTCTGCATGTTTCTGGCTCAACATGCAAGTATCCACTTCTTGACGTTCGCTGTTGGTTGCAGCCACTTGAGGTTTTTGGGCTCATTTGGGTTCTCAACACTGGGCGACTTTGATGGGAGTGAAAGCATCCTCACAACATAAATCACCACACTACCTGCTTTTGTTTCAGGTTTTTTCTTTATCCTTGTTAACATGTTTGGGTACTGGGTTTACCTGTAATGCATTTTGTGCTCCAAAAGCTGTTAGCATGACCTTTCTTATCATTAGATTGTGCCACACCAGCACCTGAGAGAAAAGCTTTGAGTTTGATTTTGTGTTTGTGTTTTGCAGGCACTCAGGAGAATAAGTCATGATGTTTCTTGTGTTTGTCATGTTAGTATCTCAGTGCTTGTCAATCACCAGTCAACAGTGTCACCACTGTGAACAACATCCTGCGACTGTTTGAGCCAAAACCTTCGAGAAGTCCCTGCAGCCGCTTCAAAACTCATCACTGAGCTCGATCTCTCTTTTAACACGCTGGAGACAACAATGAAAGATGACTTTCTTTCATATGCTGCTTTGAGGGCTTTGTTCGTGAACAACAACAGAATCAAAACCATCCATGAAGAGACATTTCACCCGCTGATTAATTTGGAGAAACTGGACTTCCACAAACCAGTTGGAGACTTTGTCTTCTGGATGGTTTCAGAACCTGATTTCTCTCCACTATTTCAATCTTTTGGGAAACAAATATACAACACTGGGTCCGGTTGTTGTTAACTGATCTTGACTTTGTTGATTAAACGTTGCAAACCAGCCTTCAGTGTGTCCTGTACATGAGGTCATTTAGTACACCACAGCACGGTGAGTTGTTTGAGCTGATGAAGTTCAGCCAAAACAGGAAACATGCAGCAGGAGACAGTAACTTGTTAAAATGTTATAAAAGGTACAATTAAAGATTTTCACCCTACAGGGTTGTCAATGATCCAAGGATAAATGTCTAATTTGGTCAAAAGTTTATAAGCCATTTCTGGAGAGACTGCAGTGGAAATGTTGTCACTTTTGGACTTTGCTACCTGCAGCTAAACATTTGCAGCTAAATCATTTATTTAAAAGCAGAAGCTGCAACTGATCGAGTGAATGTTTGTCTGAAAACTTAAACTGAACTCCAAGCGTACCATTGCTCCAGCTTACCATCTTTACCTGAGTGAATCAGTTTGTTGAAAAATCTAAATGATTCAGAAACTTCTGTGACATCAACTTAACTAAGGCTCATTACAAATTTCACAAAACACTGCTGAATACTTTTAATATTTTTTTTATTAGTTATTTTTGTTTTGTTGTTATTTTGATTTTAATAAAACAAAATAACATAAAGAATCAAATTGTTTCTTTGTTTTTTTAAATTTAATTTATTTTACAAATAAATTAATAATAATATTAATAATAATAACAACAAATTAGTGCTGTCAGCGTAAACGTCATTAGTTAAAATGACGTTAACGCTGACAGCACTAATTTGTTGTTCCAGAGAGCAAGCCAAACACTGGTCTAGAAAAGGACGATCTCTAGTAGTGCTGCACTACTAGTAGATTTTGTTTTAACCTCCTAGGACCTGGTGTCCACATATGTGGACATAACATTTATGAGACCAAAATACAAAATTTTGCTCTTCAAAAACCTGATATCCACTTATGAGGAGGACATTACACTGCCCCTGTTCAATCGAACTTTAAAATGAATGTCCTCATATGTGGATCTCATTCTTTTGAGAAACAAAAAAAAGATAGTCCGAATCTGATGTCTTTGTTTTTACATTCATCAGGTCCCAATCAACCCAAATGGCACAGAGAAATTAAAAATGCATGCCATGAAAGAGTTCAGGTCGTAGGATGTTAAAAATGTCCCTGCTGATGAGACCAGTGAATGTGGGGCGACGGTGGCAAGAAAAAACTCCCTCCTGGAGGAAGAAATCTTGGGAGGACCAGGCTCTCTGGGAGGACCCTTCCTCCTGAGGGCAATACTTACCAGTACTTGTCCTCCAGTGTGCGATGGTGGGCTGGGACGAGTGTTGTTTCTTCTCAGCATGATGATGACCTTCCTTCCTTCCATTTCCTGTTTCAGAACTGAGAATGAAGACAAAACTGGTTAACAAGGTAACAGGACATTTAAAAATTCTCTCACTTCAGGATGAGATGCTGTGTCTTCTTACGTTTCTCTTGTAAAACAGCATGTAGGCCGAGTGCTGCTGTTCCTCACAAGCTGCCGATCCGGTTGTGTGGAGCACCTGTGCGTCATTATAGGTGAGCCAGCGATCTGATGTAGAGTGCTGACTCTCCTCAGGATGGACAGAACTACAGATGTAGTGTCCTGAAATCACATTAAGACAAATGAATCCAACTTCTGGAAGTCAACTGATTCAAGCAAACAGTGATTTGACTTAGTGCTTCTTAGAACATCAAAAGCTTTTGTTGTGAGTCCTTCACTGAAAAGTAGAAAGTTTTCATTTTCTGTTTGTAACAAGTCTGTTGTTTTACCTGATTCTGTGCCTCCATAATGATTGATGATGCTGACAAGACTATAACAGCCACCACCCTGAGAAGGAACAAATCCAAAGAGTGTTAGTTTCATAAAGTCTCACATCAGAGCCATAATTAAGCTGATTTGCTGAGGCTACGTCCACACTCGTTTTCTCTCCACTTTGACCTCCCGTCCACACTGAGACGGCGTTTTCCTCAAGGAAAAACACAGCATCTTGAAAACGCTCTCGAAAACGCACACATTTCAAAACGAGTTGTCCCGTCGCAGTGTGGACACTCGAAAACGCAGACTTTCTAAAACGATGATGCATTTTAGTCATGTGATGCAGTCATGTGAGCAATTAAACAAAGATAGCCGAGTGCATTTTACAGCAGTTGTTTTGATTGCTCTCAACTTTGAAAGCCCTAAAAAAGATTAATATCAGTTTGTACATGCTCCGGATAGCTTTTCTTCAAATTCGTAATTCCTCACTCACTTTTGCGCATGCGCAGGACTGGAACGTAAGCGTTTCGGCCGTTTCAATGCAGACGCACAACTATTTGAAAATGACTGAAAACGCTAGTGTGGACACGGAGTTTTCAAATCTATCAGGGCTAGTGTGGACGTAGCCTGAGACGTTCTGCAGTCTGTTTTTACCTGATTGGATGGCACCACCAAGTCCCTCTGCAGCCTGACGGGGTCATCCACCTTCTTAATCTTGTAGGTTTGTGTAAAGCCAAACCTCTTCAGATGCAAGATCAGAACTCTGGCAGAAAAGAAAAAAAACACAAACAAGGTAGAAAATAAGAAGAATGAGTGTCAAACACAAACAGAAGATGGGAGAAAACGACTGCTCAAGTATTGTCTCGAAGAACTCTGATATTTGATGCGCCACAGTTTGGAAACCTGGTCAGTCGATCAATTCTGATGTGACCTTACTCACCTTGGCAGTGTATCAAAAGACGACTTCAGTTCTGAGGCCGTCCCTCCACAATCACAGCGAAATTCTATTTCTTGTTCCTGAACAACAGCACAGAGAAAACAGGCTTTATGGTAGAAAGAAATCTCAACATATGCACACACACATACACACAAACACTAACAAAAAAGGTGTGTTAAGATCGCTGATACGACAACTCTATTGGAATTTGTGATCTTACCTTCAAGTATGTCTCTAACATGTTTATAATAGACCCCTCTGGAACAAGGTCAAGAGACAAGCTGGTGAATTCCTCTTGCTGTGATGATTGGTGACCGCAGCTACACATTTCAGGAGTAACGTAGTTAAAGTAAAGATCAGGTACGTGGAAAAGAGGTATATGAAAATATTGCAACCAGCTCTGCGTTTCTGAAAGACAGGCTTACCTCTTGCATGTCCTCATGTTTTCCATTTTAAAAATGTGATGGTCTTCTACTGGGCAGCTATAACTTTGGCCCAGGAGAGCTGCGTTCCTCTCCAGGTGAGGTGTGAGCCTTTTGACCTCATCGAGGAATAATGTTAGGAATTCATGAGCGTCCTGAAAGAAAAGCAGAGAGATTTAAAACAGTACATCAAAATCAGAAGGTAAAGCAAAAAAACAAAATGTCCAAATAGCTGACGCACTTTCTGTGCACTGCCGGTGTATTCAGGAGCTTGACTGCTGAATGCCTTCTTAAAAGCTCTTAGGTGGTGATCTTTAAGGCCATAATCTGTTGACTCGTGACAGTCCCTGACATCAATAAGCCTTCTGTAGAAAGGAAAGGGTAAAACAGACATTTCTGCTGTTAGATCTCTTTGTTCTTCAGGTTTTTGAAGAAAGTAGAAGGTTGACGTACGCACCTTAAGAGCTGAGCTTCTGGATCTGTGCTCCACAAAACCCCTGACGCTGATGTCTCTTATGAACTCCTCAATGTTGAGGAGGGCTCTGCAGGCAGGAGTTCATGTAGCAGGTGTTTCCGATGTTTGGAAACCTGACAAACGCGCAACGTTTACAGTATCAGTGTAAAATAATTCATTTTCTCCACTTTGACAAAGTGAGTCTTTGTGCACCACGTGTACTCACCCGAAGCAGTCTATAGTCCCAGTTTGACTTTCTATTTTTTTCCCACCGCATGCTACACTGCTCCAAAAAGGTAAAAACACAAACACAAAATTAGGAAAGATGTCAAGATTCTGAGCAGTGTATGCGCATGTATGCATGAGCTTTGACGCTGAAACATTTTGGAGGACGTCCAAAAGTAGTAAAAAAGATGTAAATACACAAGGTGGAAGACAAATGCCAATAAAAGGGAAATAAAACAGCTCCAACTAAACCACTGCTATAAATATCTCCAGCAGCATTAAAGAGCGGCGCATTTCTTTACCTCTGATGAGACGTAGAAGGAATTTCCTTCTCTGCCACGTTTTGTTTGTGTAATTTCTGTTTAGAAACAAGAAAACCAACATCAGTAATGGCATAAAACAAACATACCAAGGGAGTCTCTCCATGAAAAGTGTCCAGTTAGAAAATTTGGTATTATTTCATATTATTTATCACTTCAGTGAGCTGTCAGCTCATGAAGCAGATATATAGGAATATCTTTAAATAAATTAAAAACAATTTATTCATGCTTTAAATTGAGTTTTAAAGTTTGTCCTATGAAATACAAAATCCTTCATTTGGTTCTGATCAAAATTCAGTTTTTACAGAAATCATCCATCAAGCTTCATTAAAAGATTCAAAAATGCTTATTTACCATAAAAAATATTTAGAGAAACATCCTGCAAGTCTCTTCAAACTTACCTTTCTGTGAAAAAAAAAACGTTTAAACATCTTTGAACTTAATTTGAGGACATGGATGTGCTAAATTGCTCTTAATTCTTCGCATTTAACTGTGGTGAGTAAATGCTTGATGACAGTGACTCTTTCCATAAAACATACCTTCCAGAATTTAAAAAGAAACCAGCGACACTTTTTTTGTGTCTTCACAGTGTTGCTCTCTGCCTCTGCATCGCTGTCAGTTTGCTGCAGAGGACGAACAAACATAAGTTTATTAAAAAAGTAAAGTCACTTTAAATTAACAAGTGCAATTTAAAGAGAATGTGCATTTCATATGTTTCGTGTAAAAGCAAACCGAGGAACAGCAGAGGTGTCTCCATTTTCTCTTCTTCTTTTGACCATTTTCAGCAACACAAGCATCCGGGATGCTGATGAGGACAAAAGTGTAAATGTTATTTTTCAAAGTGGAAATTTTTAACAAGGAGTACATGCTGGAGATTGCAGATAAAAATTAATAACTGTAATGGAACAAAATCATGTATTTTGTACATTTACACTCTACATTTTCAAACGCTAATCTCTGAATCAATAGAAATTATAGACAAGACTAGAAGTAGTAAAAAAGATGTAAATACAAAACACCAATAAAAGGGAAATAAGCTCCAACTAAACCACTGCTATAAATATCTCCAGCAGCATTAAAGAGCGGCGCATTTCTTTACCTCTGATGAGACGTAGAAGGAATTTCCTTCTCTGCCACGTTTTGTTTGTGTGATTTCTGTTTAGAAACAAGAAAAGCAACATCAGT